TATATATATATATATATATATGACTACTATTTGAATAGGAAGAAAGCAAATTGAATAGTGTATTACAGTTAATCATATTGAAGAAATTCTCGGTTATTTTTCTTCCACATTTTTTTCTTTTCTCTAATTAAACCTGACAAGCAGCTGCACAGTTCAAACAGCATGTGGATGTTTTGTGACACCACCCAGCATTTGCCTATAAAGCAGCTTAGACGTTTACCTGATAGACGCAGGATCGAGTCTCGGTCCAAACGATGCAGTGATCTTTTCATCTGTTATCAGACTCTAGATCTGAGCAGAGGGAAGAGACAGAACTGGGAGACAAAAGCAATATTGTCCATTTGTTGGCAGCCGAGCGCAATTCCATGCGCTTTGAAAGAATGAGAGGTGTTTTCCAAACACAACACGCACAATTCTGCATTGTCTGTGATTTGGCAACTGTGTGTTGAAGATGTTGCGAAAAAGAAAGAGTAACATACTTCTCCTTTTGTTACTCCCTTTTTTTCATACACTTCATCATCTCTTATTAAAGCCGTAAATTTCGTAAAGACACCATGGGTTATTTGCTCTTTATGAACGTAAAAATGTAAACAGCAGAACATGCACTTGTATCTGAATCTTTAATCTGATTCATTGTGCTTCATTATCACTGCTTTGAAAGAGGCTGCATATTGAATTTATTATTATTATTATTTAATGCCATATACATTCCTGCGTTCAGCCCAGTCTGTCGCTCTCTATTTCCTTCTCTCTGTCTCATTCTATTTCTTACTTACACAGCTGCTCTGGCTCTGATAACCACTGACAGTTTGGATTTCATTGGGCACAATGGTTCTAGATTCAGGGGTTTTTAGACTGGGGCCCGGAGACACTCAGTGGGCTCCAAGGGGGTTTTAGGAGGTTGTAGAAAATTTGAGGGGGAAAAATTTACAAAATGTATTTTAGGAGTGTCAAAGTTAATATGTGAAAATAAGATGTTGATTACGTATGTTTTAACACAACAAACTTTAACATAAATAATTGTAAATATTTATAATAAATGTAAAAATTGTAAAAAAAAAAATAAAAAAAATGCTTAACATAATTATGCTAACATACGTGATCAACATCTTATTGTCCCAATTTTTACATTTAACAAATTAAAATTTTATGTTTTCGTTCTATAGACTACACAGATTCTTACAGATTTATTAGAATAATATATTATTTAGAATATTACTAAATTTTTACAGATAATATTTAAACAATTTGCCTTAGTGATGACAATATAAAATTAATTTTGAATACATGTTTATAAAGTTACACATTCATTTTTAAACGTGTGTGTGTTTACATATGTAGCAGAGTGAGGTATAGACCCAGTATGATTGGCTGGCGTTACCCAAACAGGTGAACCTATCAGTGTTCATACTTTATCATGATTGGTCAGTTGGGTAAGTTTCATGAGCCAGTTAGTACATGTGTGCCTATAAAAGGGGGAGTGTTAGGTTGCTTGGGATGCATCATCCTTGGTACCGCCCTTTTGTGACATGTGGCGCTTTGAGTGCTAGCAGTTGGGTTATCCTCCTGTCTGTCGTGTGCTGGCTGTTGGCCAGTTTTCAGGTTTGTCCCGTTTTTAAAAATGCCCCTTTGCCTGTTAAATAGAGGCTTATTACTTTTGTTTGTTTTTAGATATGGGCCTGCAAGTAGCTGTAATCCTGCGTGGTGAGCGACCATGTGTATTGCAGCATTGTACTGTTTTCTTGGTAGGTATGGGTAGTTTAAAGTTTGTTTTAAACCAGTTTTTATGTGTAACTTTTGTTCAATGTCCAGCAGGATTGATTGCACGTCCAGGGGTTTCTGATGATCTTAATTGAAGCCTAACGAACCTCACGTAACTGACTGCACTTCTGCTCTGCTCTACTGTTTTGTTCTGTCTGGAATTCATCTGGGTCCGTCTGTTATATTTTGTTTTGTATTGTTTGGTGGGAGGGGTTGGCCATGGTACCTTGTACTGCGTGTC